CTGTGATCAAAGCTGAATTTTCAGCATCATTACTCCATTCTTCAGTGTCACATGATCTTCAGAAATCATTCTAATATGCTGATTTGCTGCTCAAGAAACATTTCTGATTATCATCAATGTTGAAAACATTAATATTTTTGTGGAAACTGTGATACATTTTATTTTTCAGGATTCACAGATGAATAGAAAGTTCAAAAGAACAGCATTTATTTCAAATAGAAATCTTTTGGAACATTATAAACGTCTTTACTGTCACTTTTGATCAATTTAATGCATCCTTGATGAATAAAAGTGTTCATTTCTTTCAAAGAATGAATGGTTTGTGGACTAAACACTGGCGGTACACTAGTACTGCACACAGGCTTTGAGAAATGGATCACAGCAGAGCGATGTACCTGGATCCTCGCAGTGATTTGTGTGTGGTTGTGGTGACGAGGTCGGCGTGTTGGAACGGCGAGGGAATAGCTTTGCCTGCCACCAGTCCGCTGATGTGAGCCATGTCCGCCAGCATGTACGCGTTCAGCTCGGTGCACAGCTGCTCGGAGACAGAGACCAGAGTAATAAAGAGCTCAGAGAGGATTATGAAAGCGCTTAGAAGCTGAGATCCGCGGCGCTCGCGGCAAACATCACAATCAAAGCGCTCCCGTTATCGGCCCATCGGAGAGTGACCAGATGAGATCCGCGCGCTTCTCCGGGGAACGAGACCCAGATACTGCAGGCGCTTCGCTAACACTTCTGAGCAAGATGCTACGCTCTAAGGGTAAAAATAATCTCCTGCTGATTATACACTGATACGGATACATCTTAATCTGTCGTGGAGTTAGACAGCACATGACAAAGTGAAAGACGCATGCAATTCATCTTAGGAGGCATGACGTTTGAGCCTTCACGAGCTGTCTTTGTAGGGCACTCACTACGGTTCGGATCAGAACACATGCAAGCCTAATAAATGAGAGGAGAGTCGTCCTGAACTGAGTGACTGCTGAATGGGATTATGGGTATTTGACTGTCCATCAAACATGTTTCATCAGTGTTAATGAGAACAATCATCATTCTTACTGCTGTTTGTGCATGTGTGAAAGAAGATGTGATTAAAAGCTGACAGTGACACTGCAGTGTGTGTGTGAGTGAGTGAGTGAGTGAGTGAGTGAGTGAGTGAGTGAGTG